AACAATCACAATTTAAATAAGGCTCCAAACATAGAAGGAGTTTCCCCAAACTTTTATGGCCCTTTAGCTATCTGACCCTGACTCAAAATAAGCCCTCATATTTCTTTGAATGTTATCTATTGTTGGATTATTATTGCCTGACAATGATTGATGAGCATTACGTAGAGGTCTTGTATTTTTGTGCAAATACACCCAATAAAAGCCCATTGAGGAACTGGCTCCCGCTCCTTCTCCTTCAGTGATCGGCCACCTTTCCTCCCCAAGAAGATCGTGTCTCGGCAGACTCAGGCAAACCTCCCCCACACCAGGTCATGGGTAAAGTTTGGCCAAAATTATATGCATAAAAATATACTAATGTCTGCTGAAAAAAAGGAAAGACATTGAAAGACTATTTTTTGGGCCTTGGAGAAAGAGTGATTAATTTCTAACAGGGGAGGAATCACAGTAAAAAATAAAACTGTCCGAAAATAGGGCTCATGACACTGTGGGACAGTCATTGCTCTGGGCCTGACCCCACTCCAGGGAAGATGACATGAGTGAAAGCAGCAGTGCGGTACTGACCACACAGATCAGCTGACGGACGTGTGAACCGACTCACCCTGAGGAGTCTGAGCAGGACATGAAAGTGTACTTGGGTGACTGGGAGGCCCCATAGGGGGCATCAGGACCGCCCCTAAGGGTGCAGGTGGAGGAACAGGGCTGTGGGGAGGCAGGGTCTGTCTGTGATGGGGCTCAGCAACATGTCACACAGTGGAGTGTCTAGGACTGGGCACCAGGGGGCGCTCAGGGACTGTTCCTGAAGGTCTGGGGTCATCAGAGCAGGGACCTGTGACTTGACACTGCCAGGTGCCCTCTGCTCAGGGCACACAGCTGTGACCTTGCCACGCCCTGGGGCTCACACAGGCTCACCCCTAACCACCCTGAAATCCCCAGGCACAGGTACCTGACAGAGGGCCCAGGGAGGGATCAGAAATCGGGGTGGGGGGTCTCATTTGCATGAGTGGGCCCTCCCTCTCTCAGAGTATGAAGAGGGGAAGAGAGAGGTGTGGGGGAAGCTCTGCTTCAGCTGTGGGGCCACAGAAGGCAGGACTCAGGGATGGACTCCACCATGGCCTGGTCCCCTCTCCTGCTCACCCTCCTGGCTCACTGCACAGGTGACTGGATAAGGGGACAGGGGAGGAGACCTTGGGAGGGCACTTCTGGGTCTTCTTCCTGCTCCTCTCTCTGGACCCAGAATCACCATCTCTGTGTGTCTCCCTCCTCCAGGGTCCTGGGCCCAGGCTGTGCTGACTCAGCCGCCCTCATTGTCGGGGAACCCAGGACAGACCGTCACCATCTCTTGCACTGGAAGCAGCTCCAACATTGGGGGTGGTTACTATGTGTTCTGGTACCAACAGTTCCCAGGAAAACCCCCTAAAACCGTCATCTATGATACTAGCAGCCGACCCTCGGGGATCCCCAACCGTTTCTCTGGGTCCAAGTCTGGCAGTGTCGGCACCCTGACCATCACCGGGCTTCAGGCTGAGGACGAGGCCGACTATTACTGCCATTCCTATGACAGCAGTAGCAGTGCTCCCACAGTGCTGCAGGGCTGTGGGGAAGTGAGACAAAAACCTGCTATCCCCTGCAGTGCAGTTCCCCGGTGCAGTCCCCACTCCTCTGAGAAGACAGCTGCTTTCTCGGTTTGCTTGGCTTGAACTCAGGTCTGAGACCCTCCACAGGGGACTGTGACAGGAACATGTGTCACATCTTTTGAACGCTGCCTCTGAGGCCTGTCTGTGGCAGCAACACATTCTGTGGTTTTCTCAATTGAGGGGAAGGTCCTGTGTGTCAGGGCGAGGCTTTGCTGGGAACAGAGTCCATGATGACAGGTCAGCAAGAACCAGGGACACGGAACCCGGCTGTGTTCCCTGTCCACATAGTGCACATCAGCAAGGCCCAGAGTGTGGGCTGTCACCAACGTGTCCCATCTCGACCTCCACCATGCCCATCACTCAGTATAGATCCACCCTGAATTTCCCACGATCCATTCCCAGGATCAGCTCTGGTCGCTCAGGGTCCCTGACCCCCACTGGCCTGAGAGCTGAGGACAAGGGTGCCTCTCACAGCCACCCTGTGACAGTGTCCTCTGTGCTCACACAGAGCTGCAGGCTTGTGGGACTTGAGACCAGTAGAAGCTTGTTCTCATCTACAGGGATGGGACGTCCCAGCCTGTCCCACTCAGGACACCTCTGGCTTCTGGTTTTGGTGCTTCCACCAAGGCAGTTTCTTCCAGGGCAGTCCCTGGGGAATGGATGTGTCTGCCCCAACTACTGTCCACACAGCACCTCACACAGCCCCTCCCTGGACAACGGGTCTCAGGCAAAACAGGAAGTCAGCTCCCCATCAGCTGGGGACACAGAGTGGCTCTGCTCTGAAGAGCAGGTGCTGGAATGGGGGCACCATCTCTGGTCACTTCAGACCCAAACTCTGACTGGGCGTCCTGCATCTCTGTCAGTGACCACTGACTTCTTTCCTGGATGTTCCAGAGCTGCCACCTTGTCATTGGCCCTCACTGTGAACCCCTGTCCCTGTAGCTCCCAGAGAGAGGCTTCTGTCCCAGCTGCACTGGCCCCATACTACTACTACTACAGGTTAATACTACCTGTGTGATGTTGAGTGACAACGTAGGTGAAATCACACCCACCTCTAGCCCTGGGGGGACCTGGGTGCAGCCAGAGCCTCAGCTTTGAGGACACAGACCTGGCATGAGGCTCTTCCTTCTCAGCAGTGAGGGAACCCTAAACCAGTTATATCTTCTTGAGATGTCTTAGTTTCCCAGTCTGTGATTGAGAGCTTTCCAGCATCTCCCTCCTATTGTGTCTTGAGGCGTGTGTGGCGCTATAAAAACCTGAGGTGCTTGTCACCTTGGGGGAGGATGCTCAGGACTCAAGCACAGGCTTGGCAGTGGGAGGGACACATGGAGGCTGGCAGAGCACAGAACTCAGTGCAAATAGACCGGGTCTGCTCTGGATCAAGGGGCACTCACAGATCCTCCTGCCTGCATCCCAGGCACCTGAGAAAGTTAAAGGGACCTGAAATTCCAACATCATCCCTTGAGCGGGCAACCTTCCAGGGCTCCAGTGTGGACAGACTCAGGGCCAAGTGCCTCCTGTGGCCTGTGTGCTGGGAGCCCCAGGATGGCTCCCAGTGTTCTCGCCTCCTGTTCTCCCACACTGTGTGATCCCCTCTGCTTTGAGGTTGGATGGACTTTCTGACTGTTTTCTAACCACAGAGTAGGACAAAGTGATAAGGGGCCATTCAGTGTGGTTATGAGAAGCCTGACTTGCACAGGTCCACTCTGTCCTGGGCTCATTCCCTGTCTCCCTCTGTCTCTCTCTCTCTCCTTCTACACGTCCACCTCTGCGTTCTCTGTCTCTCTTTATCTCATTGCCGTGTTAGCATCGGTAACCAGATGCTGATCAAGGAAGGGAGCCAATGGCATCAGACATTGCTGAACCTAATGGGCTGTGGAGAGGGATCAGACACTGGGCCTGCTGTGTTAGCAAGCTGCAGCTCCACTCCTTTCCCAGGTGACTTCTAAATCCACAGAGTGGTCAGGAAGGATTGCTGCTGGTCATTACCCGGGGAGGAATAAAACACCTGAAGAAATTCCTCTGGTGGGCACTTGCCCAGTAGAGGGCAAGATGGCGTAGGGTGGGGGTTGCTTCCACTTTGCAGCATGTGCAGTAGGAACTAAGACAGATTAGTGTCCAGCCTGGGAAAAGGATTGGATTGGATGTGGGACACAGAACCCTGGGTTATCCAGGAAATAGATTGGTTAAGGGGAGGGTCTGAGCCAGCCCAGAAAAGCTTGGGAAGTTGATTGGTTAGTTTGGAAAGGTGCCTGGTCCTTCCCAAGCCCAAGATAATGTACTGTATTTGCCATGTATAATGCACATTTTTTTGCCCACATTTTTGAGGAAAAAATAAGGATGGTCATTATACACAGGTATGATGGTAACATACCATGGTATAATATTGGGTATAATAACACTGTTAGTAATGCCCACAGAAACATGGGTGCGCTTTTACATGGAAAATACGGTAATCCCTATTTTAAAAAGACTCCTTCCCTCTCTCTCTCTCTCTGACTCTCTCTCCCGGTAACATGTTCTCACTCCTTTTCATAGCAGCCATGTGGCTCCAGCAGCACTTGCTTGTTCAGTATTGACTTCATAGCAACTGGCAGATGGACCCGAATTTGGTTTGAGAAGACTGAGAGGTGGAAATCATGGGGCATGGATTTTAAGAGACAATCATGAAGTTACCTTGACAACAATTGTGGTCATCGTTTAAACAAGTGAAAAGGGAGTGAACGTCACAAATGAGATATACATTATAAATTCAAATGGAAGGGAACTTACTGAAATAAAAATGACACTCGGTGACTAAAACCCCACTAGATGGGCTGAAGAACAGACTAACAGTTACATTGAATTCAGGAATTGGGGAGGAAAAGAACCAACAAGTATTCACAAAGACAGAAGACCATGAGCCTGGTGATACCTGGACAATAAAGTGGGATGTTCAAAGTTTACAACATATTTGAAAGAAATACAACATTTGCTCTGTATAATTCACACTATAGGTATTATTTTCTGAGGCTGTCACTAGGGGGTGCTGTGGGTCCACTTGAGGTGAACAAGGCCTGCAGTCAATTCAGATTTAATGACCGTGAAGGCAACAAGCTCAGGGGCTTGAGGTATATTTTACAGCAGGTGCTTCCTCCCAGGGGACCAACTCAGAGCCCACAGGCAGGCCAGCTGTTGACTCCCGACAGTAGAGCTGGCCCTGGGTGAGGACGCACGAATTTGAGGGTGGGGAAATAAAGAGCTGAGATTTGCATCAAGCATGACCCAAACACAAACCCTCCCTCCAGGCAGCTGAGGGAGATAAAGGAGCCACCAGAGTGTCCAGTGTCAGCTGTGGGGCCAGCGTGTCCTGGACACATTTGCACCATGACCGGGACTCCTCTCCTGCTCCTTCTCCTCCTTACCCTCTGCCCAGGTTCATGGACATTTCAGAGAGCAGCTTTGGAAGGGACCTTGTGCCTTCCTTCCTCATTCCTCATGTGTCCGTTTTCATTTCAGGGTCCAGCTCTCAGGCTGTGGTGACCCAGGAGCCATCATTGTCCGTGTCTCCAGGAGGGACAGTGACGCTTACCTGTGGCCTTAGCTCTGGGTCAGTCTCCAATACTCACTATCCTAAGTGGTTCCAGCAGACCCCAGGCCAGGCTCCCCGCATGCTCATCTACAACACAAACAACCGCCCCTCTGGGGCCCCTGAGCGCTTCTCTGGATCCATCTCTGGGAACAAAGCCGCCCTCACCATCTCGGGGGCCCAGCCTGAGGATGAGGGGGACTATTACTGTGCTATAGATCATGGCAGTGGGAGCAGCTTAACTTACTCACAGTGGCTCAGATGCTGAGGAAGTGAGACAGAAGCCCCTGGGCCCAGAGGTTATGCTCTGAGCCTCACGGGAGCTTCTGTGGGGGCCTCTGCAAGGTGGGCTCCTCTGCAGTCAGAAACGTCCATGGAAGGGGGCGGAGCAGCACACAGTTGAGTGAGAGCATAGGGCGTCCCTGGTCACTCTCCCTGAAGGGGTGACAAAGCCTGACAGTGTTGTCCCCACAGTGTTGGAGTAAATTTTAACAAAATTAATATTTTTAAGAAAAAAATCACAGTTTTTCTGCACTGTTGTGTCTTCTTTTGTACTCACACAAAACCCTTCACTTTTGTCACATCTGGTCACCAAATGTATCGGGGGTATTTCTTCACAACAAGCAGTTCTCCCTGCACCAGCTGGATGTCCCACCACACAACTCAGCTCCCACACGACTGCCTGGAGATGGTGTCAGAGCCGCAGTGAAGGGCTCTGTCCCATGGGACTGCCCGCTCCTCAGGTGACGGTCACTAGCAGGACATCCCCTGGTTTCACTCATGGCCTTGGCTGTAACTCCCAGGTTCCCGGGTCCCTCCCGAGGTTTCAGTTAGTTTGCTGACTCCACCTGAGCCCTTCTCCTTCCTCAAGGAAATGGGGGGCAGGTCTGAAAAGTTCAGGCTTTGCATCCTGCCTCTGTCTATGAGTGAGCAGTCCTCCCCCAGGAGCCCACCCAGAGTCACAGTATTAGAACAAAAGAAAAACTTGTCACTCAGGAAATTTCAAGGGCAGGAGGCTGAGACCAATATATATTTTCTCTTATCTCATAATACTGTGTCTGCAAGTACCTGTGATGACCCAGACAGTCACTGCCACCCACAAATTAATGCCATACATGTGAATCCTGTGGTACTTCCTCCACATCCCCACGGCCCCAGGCCCTTCAGCCTCACCCTGGACTCTGGGCCCTTGGGCACCCTCCATGACTGGTGACCTCATGACTGTCAGTGGGTTCTCCTGAGCCCACAGGCACTGACTGTCCCCCTGTCCTCTCGCACTTCCCTGGGCTCCCCAGCCATCCAGGCTGTGGGCTGGGCTGCGGGGCATCAGGAGCAGGAAGTCCCCAGTGTGTGTCTGTCTTTCCTCCCCCATGAAGCTGCTGATGAGCCCAGACCCCAGGTGAGCTTCTCCTGCACAGGAAGCAGCAGACACATGGGGGGTGACTATGGCAATGTTCCGAAGGCCTCCCAGGTGGAGCCCCCATATTTGTGACCTGGACGTGCTGTGAGGAACCTTCCTGGGTTTGAGTCTCATTCTCCGAATTCAGTGCTGTCACCACAACCTCTTGACCACCTTTGGGTCGCAGCCCCTGGGAGAGGCTGGTGATCACCAGTTCAGAGCTGAACACAAGCCGATGCCACACAGCTCTCCTGCCCCACGGGGCAAGGGGTGAACCTGCCCTCCCGGCCCCTGCCTGGCTCATCGGTGCCCTGTCCTTCCCTGTGACCAACACCAGCTCAGGAGTTTGCTTCTGCTGTCACTTGTTCTATTAACACAGAAAGGTTTCATTCCCTCAAATCTGTTCATCTTTATGGTGTCAATGAAAATATCTGTTTCAAAATACAGTTCTCCCAAATCAAACAGAACTGCCGTGTTTCCAGAGAGAAACATTCCCGCAGTGTGGAGCGGGGGCAGGAAAGGCCTGCATGCAGCAGGTGTGACCCCAGGGAACCCAGTGACCCTTCCTGGTGCCGGCGGAAATCGTGTCCTTTCACGGGACCCTGAGAAAAGCACTTCTCGGACTCACTCATGGGGGACTGTGGGGTGACAAGATTTATTCAGGTGGAAGTAGAAGCCTGCTGCTGTGTCACATGGGTCCGTCTGTCCCGCCATGGAAAACGTTCGGCTGTGGCTTCAGCAAGGCTGGAACACAGGCAAGTATCCAGCGTTTCTGTTTCGTATGGAAGGTTCATCCTTTGGATCTATGGGGCCTGCTGTGGGCCCTGACTGGCTGCTGGACCCAAATGTCACCATGGAGAGAACTTGTGCATGAACCAGGCAAAAGAGAGAGAGAGAGAGAGAGAGAGAGAGAGACAGAGAGAGAGAGAGAACTCTTTGTGCCCTGGCATCATGTTATCTGAGGCGTAGGAAGCACCTTGCCCTTTTAATAAGGAACCAGTCATCCTCCCAAGCCTCTCTGTGCTTGCTCTGGGCCAACCTTCCAGCTAGTCTGGGCTCCTCTGAGCGAATTACAACACACATACGTTCATGAGAGTAGTTGTAATCCATTGCTTTTACGTGCAAGGGTTTCAAGGCATCTGAAACATGCACATGAGCAGATGCACGGTCTGACGGAGCGCTCTCGAGTGGTGTGCTCTCACAGGCAGCTGGGGGTGGGCCACAGTCACGGAGGAGGGCAGACAGGCAGGAGGGCCCTGTGGATGACGCTGAGTAGAGACAGGTGGTTTTGTGAACTATTCTTTATAAGTTTTGTAACTTCAAAATTCTCACTTTACATATATATAATTATATAACTATATATATATATTTAAATTCTCTCTTTTTATGCATGATGGTGTGTGTATGTCCTGTCATTAAGAAAAACTGAAAGTTGCCAAAAGTTGTGTTTTCTCCCTATGTAATCTAAAGTCTAAGCCCACTTTTCACACCGACAGAGAAGAATTGGACTTGGATGGAGACCATAGGAAAAACTGGAGTCCATGGTTTTCCAGCTACAAAGATGTCAGGGAGTTTGCTGTTCAGGAGCCAAAGGTGGGCTGACAGCCATGGGTGGTGGGGGAGAGGCTATGGAGGCCCCTGGGCAGACCTCAGGAACTGGGGTTCTGTGCAAATAGCAGTGGGGAGCCCCTGAGGGTTTTGAGCAGGGGTGACCTTCCTGAGCTGCATGAGAAAGACACCTCGAGTGTCTTGAGGACACAGTGCCCAAGGTGAGCAAGTGACTCTGGTCAGAGTCATTGACTAGGATTCCTGTGAATCTAGACGTGTGGGACCATAGGACCGTGAGCACAGGTGCAGCCGAGGTGGACCTGGGTCCGAGGGTCATGCTGGTCTCTGCCTCCAACTGCCGAGACACTCAGCACAGCTGCGAACGCATCAAAAACTCACATTTAGCTTGTTACTAAAATAAGAGAATGAATAAGAAGCTGCAAGAACACTTTGTTTGAAATATAAACTAATTTTAGGGCACCTAAGACAGACTTCTGGCAAGAAACATGTGACACAGAAAAGGAGAACACTGCAAACATAAGACTATTCAGTCAATTTCTCAAATAAAGAGCAGTCTACATTATCCACTAGTAAATATTAAGCCAACTAAATCCAGTGCTTTTCACCAGTTACATGCTAAATTAAATTAGATTTCCATAAAAACTGCAAATGCATCCCATGTATTAAAATATTTCCTTAATAGTTCATTTTTGAATATGCTACTGACTGCAGTCCTGGGAAACCCTCTTATGTGTCGTTTTCCTGAGCAGCCCCTGTGAGCCCTTCAAACTGGATCAGCTGTCCATCACCTGTAATGTGGGAGAGGAAGCTCCCTGTGTATGTGCTGTGCCACATCTTCAGTGGGGATGGAAACGAATTGCTTTATCATATAAGTACATGTTTGCACCTGAAAGAACCCCTGGGAGTGAGATACTGCACTATGTGAACAGTGATCAGAGTCACGATATCTGGAAACCAACCCCTGGATGTGTGAACAGAGTCAGTGACCTGCTGAGCTGCAGAAAGCAGCTGGGCTCTCAGGGCTTTGGTCCAAGGAGTCAGATGTGCCTTGTCACCAGCAGGTGGCAGTGTGGGACTGCACTGTGTTCCCTACACAGCTGCTCAGTGAGGATATTTTACTCAAGGGTGCCAGGATCTGGCAGCTGGGCCCAGCGCTCCTGATGGGGACTTGGCAGCTATGTCTGTCTATGTCTCCCCTCGGGTCTGGCCTATTCTCCTGTGCATTAACCATTGGCTGTCTCAGCAGATGCTTCTTCCATGGGCTCTACCAAAGGGTGAGGATAACCTCCACCCTTGTCTGTCTGGGGTATGAGCTGAGCTCTCGCTCCAGGGCTCAGGGAGGGGCTGGGCAGTCCCTGGATGGACACACATTTGCATGAACGGCCCCTCCCCTGGCAGAGGATGGGGAGAAAAGGAGGCCTGGGCAGCCCAGCCCCACTGTGGGCTCAGGGGCTGTGTGCACCATGGCCTGGACCCCTCTCCTCCTCATGCTCCTCTCTCACTGCACAGGTAGGGACAGGACTTTGGGATCCTGGGCATTGGCCAATATTACTCAAAAACCCCAGATCATTTACTTGGGTTCCTGCCTCTTCATCCATTAATACTTGTGTTTGCAGGTTCCCTCTCCCAGCCTGTGCTGACTCAGCTGCCCTCCCTCTCTGCATCTCCTGGAGCCACAGCCAGACTCACCTGCACCCTGAGCAGTGGCTTCAGTGTTGGTAGTTATGCTATAGCCTGGTTGCAGCAGAAGCCAGGGAGTCCTCCCCGGTATCTCCTGGTGTTCAACTCAGACTCACAAAAGCATCAAGCCTCCGGGGTCCCCAGCCGCTTCTCTGGATCCAAAGACGCCTCTGCCAACGCAGGGCTCCTGACCATCTCTGGGCTGCAGGCTGAGGACGAGGCCGACTATTACTGTGCTACAGCTCATCAGAGTGAGAGCAGCATCAGTTACTCAGAGTGGCTCAGAAGACGAGCAAGTGAGACAAAAACCCCTGGGCCCGAAGACCTTGTGTCTGAGCATCTTGTATTGAGATATTTGCATGGAGGTGCCTGCAGGGGGCGCTCCTTTGTTGGTCCTGTTCTTGAACAGGAATGAGTGACTCAGTCCGGGAGCACAGTCCAGTCCAGGGTCTCACAGTGGTGAGGTGGTGGAGCCCCGCTGTCCATGCCCACAGGGTCGGAGTGAGGTAACAAATGAACACAGTGTCTGCAACTACAAATGGTGATGAAGACAGAAGTGTTTCCCCAGCTGCTGTGGTGCAGGTGGCTGTAGTGTGGTCCCAAGAATCAAAGAGTCTGGGATTGTTTTCCCCGCAGGGCACATGCCTGGGTTGTGGGTTGGGTCCCTGGCCAGGGCAAGTGGGGAGGCAACCTGCCCATGTTTCCAACTCTCATTAATGTTTTTCTTTCTCTATCACTCCCTTCCTTTCACATTAAAAATTAATAAGTATGTCCTCAGGTGAGGATGAAAAAAGGAAAAAAGAAGAAAGACAGTCGTTTTGAGCCCACACATCTTACACCTTAAAGTGACAATATTGTGTTGCTAATGACACATCCACAGTGATACGTCAACACTGATCCCAGTCATAGACACCGTTCCCTCTGTCCCCGGAGCAGCCCACACAGGTGAAGGGACCCGGGTCCTGCACATGCGCACTGACCAGGCTCTGCACACTGCCCCTCCCCTCCTCTGTTCTGCTGCTGCTTCCCGCACCCTCTCCTCTGTCCCTCTCGCTCTGCAGGACTGAACTCCATCTCCACATTCATTTCCAGGAAGAAGGACAAGTTCTTGCTGGAGTTTCATTCCCCAGGGCTCTGTGTCTGGGGAGGATGGTGAACCCCGTAGACCAGCTTGAGTTCCCGTCCTAAGTGTTTCCTACTCTCATCTCCCAGGTGTGTCGTCCACTCTCCACCACCCACAGCCAATCTCTGTAACATGACAATAGAATTACTGATTCTTTAAAAAGATGCAACCATCCACCTTTGAGTACTTGTGAGAGGGGACTCAGAATTTGGAATATGTTAGTTTAAGGTACATCGTTATAAAGCTAGTGAGTAATGCATATGTTAAAGCTTTTGTTTCAGAAGATACAGAGAAGGCCCATCCTGGCCCCTGGGAGAAACTGCCGACCTCCTGGGGCACTGCTGAGGACCACCCCTGGGGACAAGGGGAGGCATGCGGGCCACTGAGTTCCAGGGAGAGACAGAGGACCACCTGTCCCAGGAGACAGCCAACTGCCCAGGACAAGAATCTTGCAGTTTCTTTCACCCAATTCTCCTTGAATTTCAAAACCCCTCACCACACCTTGTTTATTCCCTGCTATAAAAACGTTGGCCTGGAAAGAAAACGTGAGCAGGGCCTTTCAGGGTGGGACCCTGCCGTCTTCTCAGATCACTGGCCATCTGAATAAAGCGCCCATAGAGATTCAATCTCTGCCTCTGGTTACTGGGTTTGGTAGTGACAGGCAGCAGGAGGTCTGCTGTCTTTTCCAGTTTCACTTGCACAGAGAAGCTGTTGGTAAATTTATTGTTCATCCTGAGATGCACCCAGTCCCTGCACAATGTTGGTCTCCGTGTCACAGACACAGGCAGGGGGGCTGCATAGTCAGAACATGCGAACATTCCTTCCTCCTCCTGAGAATACGTGTTTCCTAGGAACGTCAGACCTGCCGCAGTGGGTGGCTATAATGACGGAGCACAGGATCAGGGTCTGCGGGGCGTCAGAAAGTTGCTCTTACGACAAGCACTGTCAGCCTGGGACCCTGCAGCGGGCAGATTATGGATGTTTGCTCATCTGCGAGGGTGTCTGTGGGGATTCACTGAACAAAAGGTTGTCTGGTCCCAGAGCCCCTGGCCAGCCGGGGAAAGGACAGATGTCATGGGGCAGAGTGACGAGGGACTGTAAGAACATGACTACCTGTGACCGTAAGAACTGTGTTACCATTTCTCTAACACATCAGAGTTTTAACCCACACCGTGGAGTCAGGTCGCTCCTCTCTCCGAGTCCCATTCAGGACAGCAGCCCACCCACCCTGTGCTTCTTCCTTCTGCTGCCATCTCCCCTAGGCCCCCTGAATGTGCCCTTGCTGGTGTCTGTCCCAAGTTCTTCCCTAGGACTTCCCACAGAGCAAATCCCTAAGGTATGAGCATGACTATAATGAATGCAGCTCTGAGGACAGGTTCAAGTGGGATAAAAATGTCCCAGCACGTGGGCCAAAGTTGCAGGCGGGTCCCACAGTGGTTCCCAAGGATGCTCAGGTCCTGCCCCCTCCCCACACCCCTTATTGTTTTGTTGCTCCATACAGATGAGCCCCATGGTTGTGCAGACTCCTCCCCACCCTGCTCTGCAAGGGTCAGCATCCTGCTCCTTCTATATCCTCCTCTGTGAAGGTCTCTGTCCCCTCAGTGAGCTCCTGGTCACACTCAGCACCCAGAGCAGGTTCCCTCCTCAGGGCCCTCCACGGGGACAAGTCCACTTTGCTCTCAGATCCAGGCCCTGTGGCCTCTGCTCCACAGTGGTCCCCACGCTCTCCTCCGCAGGATTCTGTGGTACTTCCGCTGGACCACCGCCCATGGAGGAGGCCTGAATCAGTGATGCTCACACCGGAAGTGCCCCACTGTGGTCCCTGTAGGGTGACCCTCCTGTGTTGGAAAGAGGGGAGAGTCAAGGAAGCAGGAAAAGGTGAGGTGTTGGAGTGGTCTAAAGAGACCAGCAGGGGTCGCTGTGAGACTGTGCCTGGTCTGCTCTTACAGGGGGCAGCAGGGCTGGCCCTTTGCTTCCTGGGAGGACTGGGCAGGTGTGTCCTCTCTGCGAGTATCTGAGTCCCCTGCACGTGGGCCTGTGTGTGGTTCCAGCAGAGGCTTCCCCCAGCCCCACCCACAGGGGAAACCAGCAGAACAGGCTGGCTGTGCGGGCAAGGGCCACAGACTTGTCAGGGCCCCAGGTGACAAGCTCTGGGTGGGGACACATTTGCATGAGCAGCCCCTTGTCTGTGAGCAGGGAGGGGATAAGAGAGGCCTGGGCAGCCCAGCCCCAGCTCTGTGGCCTGAGAACGGTCTGTGCTCACCATGGCCTGGGCCCCTCTGCTCCTCGTGCTCCTCTGTCACTGCACAGGTAGGGATGGGCCCCAGAGACCAACCCAGAAAGACTGCACCCTGACCCTTCTGTTCTCTACCATGTGTCTGTGTCTGCAGGTTCCCTCTCCCAGGCTGTGCTGACTCAGCCGCCCTCCCTCTCTGCATCTCCTGGAGCCACAGCCAGACTCACCTGCACCCTGAGGAGTGACATAAGTGTTGGTGGTAAAAATATGTACTGGTACCAGCAGAAGTCAGGGAGTGCTCCCCGGTATCTGCTGAGATTTAAATCCGACTCAGATAAGTACCAGGGCTCCGGGGTCCCCAGCCGCTTCTCTGGATCCAAAGACACCTCGGCCAATGCAGGGCTCCTGACCATCTCTGGGCTGCAGCCTGAGGACGAGGCCGAATGCTACTGTGCGATCTGGCACAGTGATGCTCACCACAGTGACTCACACAGATGGGGAAGTGGGACAAAAACCTCAGCCTAACACAGTTTTGGTTCATGGCAATTCAACATTATAACGTAACCTGTATACAGGAAAAGTCTACTTGGAGGTACCTTTGTTTCATTGTGAGAGTACTCTCAATATTCTATTCTGTATTCCTTAAGTCTCAGAAACAGAAAAACGAACAAAAACAAATTATTCATTTTCATAGAAGTGTTGCCCTCCATCCGTGTGCAATACAACCAGAGCCTGAGGAACTTCCTTGTCCCTTGAAGTAAGGGAGCAGCCCTTCCTGCCTTTCTCCTTGGTCACAGCCCAGGACCATCCCAGCAGGGGGACAGTCCCTCACCACATGGATCTGCACTGGGAGGGCTCAGAGCAGAGACTGTCCCCTTCCCACCCTGCCCTGAGCTCCGGGCAGGCTGAGGGCCATCGTGTCTCAGGGCCTGGAAACTCAGAGGTGAGATGCTGGGGGAAGACTCAGGTGCAGGAGGAATTCCAGGGGCAGGCTCACCTGTGAGCCCTGCTGGGGCCCTCAGTTCAGTTGTGAAGTCGAGGATGGGGTGGTTAACGGGCAAATGCAGGGCCTGGGAACAGAAAATCTGTTTTTCTTTGTCACACGATGGTGGGGGAGGCTCGACAGCAGCTGGGGAAATGCTGAGCCTGCTGCTGCAGGGCACGTGGGAGAAGTGGGTCTGTGGATGAGGTGCTCTCACAGCTGCCACCACGCAGAACCATGGGAACATTTGTGAGTGGTTTTCCTGAGCCCACAGGCACTGACTGTGTCCCCTGTCCTCTCAGATGTGATTGGAACTTTCCAGCACTCCAGGGTGTGGGCCGGAATGTGGGCCAGCAGGAACAGGACATCCTCAGGGTGTTCCTGGCTCACTGCCCCTGGGAAGCTCTTGTGAGCCGAGATCCACCATCCCTTCTCCTGCACAGGGAGCAGTGAACCTATGGGTCCTCAGGGCTCCCAGGCAGGTCTCTGTCCTTGTGACCTAGGACAGGGGTCAGTGACCCTCAGGGGTTGAGCATTTTCTCTGGCTCCTTGGTGGTGCTCACGACCTCCTTCCCCACCTCTGGGCTCCAGCCCAATCAGGAGTCTGATTATCAGGAGCCTCATTATTAGGACTCAGTACAACCTAATGCCACCAAGGGCTCCCATTACCTGGGGAAGGGAGGAAACGTCTGCCCAGCTCTCCCCAGTGACCCATCACTGCCCTGTCCCTGACTGTGACCAACAGTAAATTGCACACGTGCGCCCCCTGATGGTGACTATGTGGGCCCCTGAGAAATGAACCTTGAGCCCATCCTGCATTAATAGCACTAAGTGAGAATTGGGAGGCAGGGGAGTTGGGACTGTGTTGCCCTGGACTGTCCCTGGTGTGGTGACAGGAAAGGGCTCAGCGGGGAGCTGAGCGCCCACCCCCGCTGCCACCCAGAAGCTCAGGCATCCGGCAGCGGGCTTGTCTCTCACTCCCCTTGATGGGCACCCGCTGGGGACAGTCTCCACTTCACTGCGCCCAGGGAGGTGAGAGCAACACAGAGCTGGCCTTGCAGTCAGGCTCCACCTTTGCAGGGGCCAGTGGCAACGGAACATGCCCCCTGACCTGGTGCTGCTCTGAACAGGGGTCACCGGGTGAAAGAGAGCGTTGGGACCCAGAGGACCCTAATGTGTTTTCCAAAATGTCCAGAACTCAGAACAAAGCACCTGGCGTCTCACACAGACTCAGAGAAAAGACGAGCTGCTGACAGTAACACAGACATGAGACGGACGACGTTAATGACAGATGTGTTCAGGCGGCATTCGTCAGGTACATTTGACGGGAAACTACGAGCATTGGGAAATGAGAGAAACTCGGAATGAAAAAGGAAGTCATGAAAACAAAACAAATGGGGACTGTAGAACTGAAAGATCCAGTAGTTGAAATAAAAGGGAAAATGATCTACAGGGAATCAAGATCAGATTATGCTTTATGTATTTGTTTGTTTACTTACTTATTTACTTATTTATTTTACTTTTTGACAGAAAATAAAGGCCTATATTGATAATTCCTTCTGTAGTTCCCACCACCATGAATAAGCTAGAGGACGTCACCAGGGGGCGCTGTGGGTCTTCTCAAAGCTTCAAGGCCTGAAAGAAACTCAAATGGTTCTAATTGAATGGCCCTGACCCATGGTCACTGGTGTGAGTTAGAGGGGACAGCAGGTGCTTCCTCTCAAGGGACAGACTCAGAGCTCACAGACTCCTCCTGAGAGTGAGGGTTCAAACGGGACTGAGGACTGTGAATTGGATGGTGCTGTGAGCTCATATTTGCATGACGTCCCACCAAGGGGGGACACACCCCTCACCCAGGGAGCTGAGGAGGAGATAAAGGGACACCCAGACAGCAGCACCCACCATGACCTGGACTCCTGTCTTCCTGGTGCTTTCCTCACCCTGTGCCCTCTCCTGGCCCACCTCACCCTCACCAGGGTCCTCTGCTGGGGGCTCGGGGGTTTGGAACCTGTCAAACATGCCCCGGAAAGTGGAATCCATCTGCGGCGCAGTGCAGGAGGAGCAGTAACTGCTGAGTTAGATTCTTCCCAAATGTGGGCCATTAAATTGGTTACTCCAAGAAGATCTGTGAAATCACAACTCCCATTACTTCAAAGGGCATTTTTATTTAAAAATATGATTTGGCAGGTGTAATTAGTTACCATGCGGCCATGTGAGGTAGGGTGGCCTCCTAGTCGGGCATGACTGGAGTCCATGGAAGACCACAGTGATGACGGGGACAGCGAAGGAGATTGCCATGTGAAGGAGCAGGCAGGGGCTGGAGCTGTGCAGCTGCAGGCCGAGGAACCCCAGTCATGTCAGGAAAACCTCCGTTAGCTGTGGAGGCTCGTGGAAGGGTCCCCTGCAGGTGTCAGAGGGACGGGTGCCCACCATCCAGGACGCAGACTTTTACGCTCCAGGGTCAGGAGACAGCACGTTTCTGTGAATGTGAGCCACCGAGCAGTGGCCCATTGTCGTGGCATCTCCAGGAAACCAGAGCGTCAAACATTTACCTTCACCATATTCCCCAGCGTGCACACGTTCCAGGACCTCCATTCTCAATTTTCCCACACTATCGTCAAATTTGTGCTCACATCGTTACCTTTTATCAATTACTCTTTCATTGAAGCTTACTTTCTCCTGTCTCAAACCTACACAAACAATTGCTACTATTATTTTGATTGTAGGAAGCAATGCAAATTGTGGCCATTGTATCGGTCCCACTGTTTGCTAGTGTCCTTATGTGGAGACCATCTTGGCATTATCAGCACCCTCCGTCATCTGTGTGTGTTCTGTGAGGTAAGGGGCGATGCCTCCCACTCTCAGGGGGAAGCCTGGGGAAGTCTGTCTGGGTGCGAGGGGCTGGCAAGGGAAGCAGGACGTGAGTTTGCTGGCTGAGCCCGGGGAGAGGAGAGACTGAGCAGGGGAAGTGCTGCCCAGCACAAGCCCTGCAGGGCCCTCGTGTGTGCGAGGCCGGAGCCCCTCCGACTTCACTCTGCAGGGGAAGCTTCCGGGGCCTGGGCAACGTGGATTCTGAATCGGTGGGTCTGTAGTGCGGCTAAAAGCTCCCTTCTCCAAAAATATCTACATACATGTTTAAAAGTCATTACACTGACCGGATTGGTATCAAGTAGGAAGGGAAGGCAAAGGTAGTCAGAAACCGAGGAGAAGTCTGGAGGAGGAGAATCAAGTCATCTGATGAAAGAACACCGGGCTCTATTCATAAAGCCCCCAAAGCAGAGCGCTGTCAGCCTGGGAGAGAGCCCACGTCACTTGGAGAACACGAGCAAGCACAGAAGGACACGCCCCACAGTCCTCCCCGTACCTGGTCTGTGAGTGCGGTGAGTCGACGTAGTGAGGGCCCCGCGGCAGGTGAGAAACCTGCCTTCGTGAGCAACCTGGGCGGTGGCTGCATGGCCGAACTGTCCGTGTTCTCAGCTCCTGTGTGTCTGTGTCACGTGCAGCTCGTGCAGGAGGCGCCATTGCCTGGAGTTTCCTTAGAGAGTGGGGTGAAGTCTCGGGGATTCCAGGTGGAGGGGTCCGAACAGAAAACAGACTGGAAGGAGAAAGCAGGCAGCCCCTGAGGGGGGCCTGGCTCTGTCATTGGGCAGGGAGTGGGCGGAGGACAAGGCGGTCATGAGGACAGGGTCTCAGTCAGTCACCTGCCGCCTGGTCACGGGCGTGATGGGCCTGGGTGGGGCAGCGGGGGCTCTGAGGTTTTCTGGTGAGTGGTCTGTGTGGGCTGTCAGCTGGGAAACCAGGCATGGGGTGACTAGTGTCTGTGCTCACTGGGCCCCTGGGGAGCCTCAGGCGAGGCCCAGCCCAGGCCCACCCCTCCCAGGTGTGAACCAGGACACTCGGGGGTACACAGGGCCTTGGGAGTGATTTGGTTGGCCAGAGGATGGAGTGAATTTGCATAAAGACCCTTTCTATTGTGTTTCAAGGGATAAGAGGGACCAGCAGGGTGACAGTCTCACCAGAGCACTGGGGCATCCCCACCATGGCCTGGACTCTACTCTCCCTCCTCATCTTCCTCTTTCACTGCACAGGTCAGGATGTCCTGACATCCCACTTCCCTGGACTCCCTCTCCCCACACGCTGAAAATGTCCTTCTATCTCGTTGTTCCTCCAGGATATAATGGGTGTCTGTGTTTCTGCAGGTTCCCTCTCCCAGCCTGTGCTGACTCAGCCGCCGTCCACCTCTGTGTCTCCGGGAGCAATAGCTGCACTCACCTGCACCCTGAGCAGTGGCTTTGTTGTTGGCTCCTACTATATATTCTGGTTCCAGCAGAAGCCCGGGAGCCCTCTCCGGTACCTCCTGGGTTATAAATCAGACTCAGAGAAGCACCAGGGCTCCGGGGTCCTCAGCCGTTTCCCTGGATCCAAACATGCCTCAGCCAATGCAGGGCTCCTGCTCATCTCGGGGCTGCAGCCTGAGGATGAGGCTGACTACTACTGCGGAGCATGGGACAGCAGCAGTGACACTTACACGTGCTCCAGAGTC